GGAATTCATTTTGACAGTGACACAGTTTGTGATAAAAGCAAGGATGAAACAAAAATGTAAACTTGAGGGCTGGACACCTAAACAGTGAGCTGAAATTGAATTAAAAGCTCTGTAAAGCCTGTGCTCTGTGGGTCCTTCGCACCGATCAATTCCTTCAAAACTGTTTTCACATCATCATTGGAAATATTGATACAAGTATTGATAATAGCTGCTTAATGTAGATACACTATCAAATCAAATCAAGTTTTATTTATATAGCACATTTAAAAACAATTTTTGGTCGACCCAAAATGCTGTACATGTAATAAAAACACTTTACTACAATCACAATAAAAGACAATAATTTACAACAGAAATATAAAAAACAAAAACACAGGGAGATGTCAGGAGTCGTGCTCCGCTCTGACTAGAAGGCCAGAGAGAAGAAGTGTGTCTTTAGTGAGGATTTAAAAACCCCTAGGGTCTGGGCCGACCTCACATGGAGGGGCAGAGTGTTCCAGAGCCTATAGGGCCAGCTGCTGCGAAGGCTCGGTGCCCTCGGGTTTTGAGCCTGGTCTTGGGCACTATCAGCAGCAGCTGGTCAGCCGACCTTAAAGCTCTGGCTGGGGTGTAGCGATGGAGGAGTTCGGCTATATAGGCCGGAGCCAGCCCATTTAGTGCTTTAAAAACAAATAAAAGGAGTTTAAAACGATATAGCTTTACGTATGAGGACATTTCTTCTTAGCATGGGCTTTAGTTGCCTATATCAAATCCATTATTGAAAGGGGCATTAAATTAAGCATACAGCCGTAGAGGCGCCATTAACAACAATTCTAATAGAATGGGTAATAGGGTCCTGCTGAATGTGCCCCTGTCGGCCGACAATGCTATTGGACTTTGCTATTTGGAGCATTAATCACTCTTCACTATATATAATAACTACAATATCAACTACTCACTATGAAATATGAAGCCGTTTGGTGTGCGTACCTTTGGATGGAGGTGCTTCAGCGTCCACTGCTGAAGGTTTGTCTCTTTTCACTGCTTTTCTCACTCTTTTCCTATTTTGCCTTTGCCTCTCAGACTGTTCTTTATTCATGTCGTCTGGTATTGATGATTCATAAGATGGGTCGGATATCAGTTTCCTTTTTGACCTGCTTGACATTTGGGGCTTGTGGCTTTCTTTAGTGCATACAGTAGTGGCTGAAGTGTCTTTACCTGTGGACAGATGTGCCAAAATGGTGAAAATCTACATCTCAGTGACACAGTCGTAGAATTATGGCCAACAAACCCATACATGTGCTATTTTTTAAAACCAAGCACATGTTAAAGGTGGGGTAGGTAAGTTTGAGAAACCGGCTCGAGATCGCTAGAATTTGAAAATACACAACCGGAGAAAATCTGCCACTTCCTTATAGAGCCCCTCCTCCAACACACACGAACGCGCACATGACCAATGAGGGCACGAGATAAGTTTGTGCACAGATGGAAGACTGACAGGCAGGTAGGCCATCCAGTTATTTTAGCCGGGCCGGTTAAAATGATTGGTCGTACTTTTTACAGTACTACGGCTTCCACAGATGACATTTTTTTATGGATTTTTTGTCAAAGCACTTAAGATATTCATTGCTATCGGGATGTTAAGAGCATTCCATGGAATATAACAAAAAGTGTATCTCGAGCCGGTTTCTCAAACTTACCTACCCCACCTTTAATAGAAAGAAGGACAACATTTTTCATTTTTGTAACATAACACCAATTCTTTATAGTGTCTGTGTTTACCTTGAGCGTTAGGTGGGAAATGCTCCAAGAGGTGGTTCCTCAGGTCTTTTAAATTGAACGTTACAAACTGACACTGAAAGCAGCCGAAGGGCATGTGGCCCTGCAAGTGTCTCTCCATCTCCTCATGTGTGAGGAATGAATATTTGCAAGCCTTGAATGTGCAAGGAATAAGAGATAGACCATGGTGGGCTTGATATTCCTGACGTCCTGTGTTGCTGAAGTGGCAGCCTTGTTCACTGCAGGGGAGGGGGCCTTCAGGGTCATGTTGTCCACTGTGGATGCTTTTGAAGTGGCGTCTCAAGACACCTGGCTTGGAAAAGACCTCACTGCACTGAGAACACTTGTAGTTCCCCAATGGTTTTTTGCTGGATGGACTACATGTTTCAACTCGATTAGATTCCACGGTGTCCATTTTATCTGAAATAACAGTACAGAATATAGTTTTGGTAGATTTTGAAACAAAGAAGACACACATTTGTAACAGATCAATCTAAAATCATTATAAAGTGCACACTATAATCATATAGGTGAAAGCGGTTTTTAGATTTCCAATTTCAAGCAAATCTTTATTTATTCAGTGCCAAAATGAGTAGAATGGTAGAAACACAGTGGTTCTGTGAGGATTATATATGCATTCTAAGCACTTAATGGCTTGTAATATTATACATAATACTAAAATCTAGCACATACTATACAAAGTATAAAATGACAGGGTGTTCAATTGGGATTCATGTGGAATTTTCACAACCACACTTGTGTCAGTTATCATAGGACCTATCATTTCAGTACAATCTAGCTCCAATAAGAGCTGCAGATAGGTGTAGATGGCGTGGATGGTCCGAAGGAACAATGGCTCTATTATATATATATATATATTTTTTTTTTTCAAATGCAACATTAGGGCCTACTCATGCAATCAGAAACATATCTCAGATTTCCAATATTTGTACAGTTATTTAAAGGTGGGGTAGGTAAGTTTGAGAAACCGGCTCGAGATACACTTTTTGTTATATTCCACGGAATGCTCTTAACATCCCGATAGCAATGAATATCTTAAGTGCTTTGACCAAAAATCCATAAAAAAAATTAATCTGTGGAAGCCGTAGTACTGTAAAAAGCACGACCAATCATTTTAGCCGGCCCGGCTAAAATAACTGGATGGCCTACCTGCCTGTCAGCCTTCCATCTGTGCACAAGCTTATCTCGTGCCCTCATTGGTCATGTGCGCGTTCGTGTGTGTTGGAGGAGGGGCTCCATAAGGAAGTAGCAGATTTTTTCCAGCTGTGTATTTTCACATTTTAGCGCACTCGAGTTGGTTTCTCCAAAATTACCTACCCCACCTTTAAGGTTAAAGTTCACACCCGTTAAATTATTTGAAGTCCCATAAGACAATAAACCATATAGCCTACCTTTTTGGCATTTAATTTATAGTCAACACCAATATCTTTTCTGTGACCTAAGATTTTCATCGTCATAACTACACTGTAGCTATGTTCGTATGACAAAATAAAAACCTTGAACCTTGAATGTGTTAAACTAAACTGTGCAATTACAGTATCTACAGTGACGTATAACTTATAAGCTTATAACTTATAAGACGATTAATTGTGAGCAGTGGTGTAAAGAAACTAAGTAGATTTTTGGAGAAACCAGCTCGAGTGTGCTAGAATTTGAAAATACACAGCCGGAAAAAATCTCCCACTTCCTTACAGAGCCCCTCCTCTAACACACACGAACGCGCACATGACCAATGAGGGCACGAGATAAGTTTGTGCACAGATGGAAGGCTGACAGGCAGGTAGGCCATCCAGTTATTTTAGCCGGGCCGGCTAAAATGATTGGTCGTGCTTTTTACAGTACTACGGCTTCCACAGATGACATTTTTTTATGGATTTTTTGTCAAAGCACTTAAGATATTCATTGCTATCGGGATGTTAAGAGCATTCCATGTAATATAACAAAAAGTGTATCTCGAGCCGGTTTCTCAAACTTACCTACCCCACCTTTAAGTACAATTTTGAGGGTATTTCTACACCACTACCATTCAGAGGTAAATACCTTTACCAGCTTTGATAACACTTGACTTTAATGCATACATAATTATAAAACATATCATATATATTATTCTGAAATGGACCAATCTGCATAATAAGTACTTTTGGTGCTTGTATATTGATTATACTATATTGACTATGATTTTGTATTTTACTCGAGTAACATTTTGAATGGAAGTATTTTACTTGTAACACTGCTGAGTATTCCTACACTGTGGTTCTTCTAAGATCTGAGTACTTCTTTCCCCCTCTGATTGTCAGTTCATTATCTACAAAATGCCACTACATGGTAAGACATTGAATCGTTATTTTCTTTCCAAACTGAATGGGAACCTACTGCCTGGGTTTCCGCGGTCCATTCTATCTGGCAAACACAACATCCACCTTTACCAGCCAACAGCATCCAGCTCGTGAAACCCATCTGAGTGTTAGTTAGGAACGTGTCCTCCTTAATACTGAGAGGTAGTAACCTAAATATCACTTACTTCTTTATGATGGTAGAAAGTGGTAATAATACGGTAACAACATCGCAGTTAACGTTAGCTAAGCTATCCTTAGTTAGCCTCTTGGTCGCAAACTGCTAATTTCTTAGTTACTACGAGCAACTCATTGTCCTGTAGGGTCGGTAAAGCTACAGAAAAATGCACAAACTATGTTATTTATGGTCATATTTATCTTAGTCACAATAGCTTGCGTGCAACATTATTTTAAGATAACACTAACAGGGACACGGAATGAATGTTCGAAGGCAAGCGAGCAGTCGGAACTATATTTGCCGAACACAGGAAGTGTAGTAGAGGTCGCATTCATTCAAGTAGCTACGCATGTGGATTTTAGTTGGCTGTTTACACTTAAACCATAGCCTTTAAAACGGCAGTATGAGATAAAGACAAATAAGGCAAGTCAGTAAGATGTTAGCTTATTATTTATTTATATATGACCGAATTTATCATTAGAAAATAGCATCAATTGGTATTTCTTTTATAATATTTCCATTTTGGGCATCAGGTCTTCAGCTACTCTCAGATGTATATCATACTATCAGTGTAGTCTCTGGATTGTCATCAAATGAGTTTGTCACACAGATCAGATGAGTTTGCACTTTGCCTGAAGGTGTGTGCTTATAAAAGGTTTTAAAACTACTATAGAGTGTGGTTCCACTGGGGCTGTGCAGACATCAGCATCATGCCCCTGTCAGACTTTCTGGACGGCCTGAAGGACAACCCTTACTTCGGGGCTGGGTTCGGACTGGTGGGGATTGGGACAGCCATGGCAGTGGCCAGGAAAAGCGCCCAGGTTGGGATGATCTTCTTCCGCAGGAACTACATGATCACTCTGGAGGTCCCCAGCAGGGATAAGAGCTACCACTGGCTGCTGAGCTGGATCACCAAACACGCCAAGCACACCCAACACCTGAGCGTGGAGACCTCCTACCTGGCCCATGAGAGCGGACGGGTTCACACGCAGTTTGACTTCCACCCGAGCCCCGGGAACCACATCATCTGGTCAGAAGAGTCCTCTTAATATACCTCCTTTAAGTCAACTTTATATGGAAGCCCTGAGAGGCAAATTAGAAAAACACCTGGTGATGTATTTAGTAATTACTTTCTTTAATTAGTTTTCTCTCCCGTCTTTATTAAATCATGATTAACAGGCTAATACAAGGGTTTGCCAGGTTAATCACTCTAATATGTATCTGAATAGTTTTTTTTAATCTGTGAAACAGGTTGGGGGGATTTATTTTAACCAGGATTTATTTTCTAAATAAAAATTTTTGTCTTTCTTTTAAAATAAACATGTGGAATGGGTAAAAAAAAAGTAAGGCAGGTGTCATTTTTGTGTTGATGTAATACCTAATCAGACCACTAGAGGCTGAAGTGCACCACTTCCCCATGTTCAAATAAGACTAAAACACAAGATACAAAAAACATACCGTTTTTTGTGTGTTAGAAAGTTTTATAAAATTACTCTCTTGTCTTTATTTTCACTTTGAAATGTTCTGCCATTATGGAAAACATGAATGCTTTTAGTCTGTTAGAAAATAGGGTTCTGGTGTATTTCAGTGTCTTGTGGCAATTTGTTTTCTCAACCTATTCCACGGATGAAAACAATTAAGGAAGTTCATTCAGACAACTCGCGTGTTTCTTGAACATGTTTATTAGAAGCAACATATAGTTGAGTTTGGCGACTAGGCTCGGGCCTCATCACTCCACAGATATACATAGCACGATGAGTGATGATTAAATAACTAACCCCCCCGAGCCTACAGGTGGAAGCTGGGGTGGTGGTGGGGCAGGCAAGCAGCAGCGATGTGGAAGTAGCTGCAGCAATAGCAGCAGCAAGCAATGCATAGAGAGATATCTGGCAGGTTAAATAGAGCGGCATATTAAGGAGACTCCGTTTGGTTGGTTGTAGAGTGGCAAGGGGCATTATGTATGAATGCAGCATAAGTGCTCGAGTTGACTGCCTGAACTAGCTCGCAGGCTTCGCCCCATTTATAAGAAAAAAAGAAACTAACAAAACTTTTTCTGATCATAAATACAGGAGAGAAAATAATTGAAATCAGACTTACAGTAGAAAAGTGTTTCACCAGTGTTTTTTTTCTCACTTTCCTATCAGGGCTTCCATAACTTCAGCATGATACCAATATACTTAAACTGATAACCATTTTTACAGCTTTAATTCCGTTTCTATGGCTTCTCTCTATCAACATTACATCCTCTAACACTGTCAGGTATTGTCTTCTGCAGGTACGGCAGGAAGTGGATCAGGGTGGAGAGGACCAGGGAGAAGCAGATGGTGGATCTGCACACCGGCACCCCGTGGGAGTCTGTAACCTTCACTGCTTTAGGCAGGGACAGACAAATCTTCTTTAACATCCTACAAGAAGGTAAAGGTGTACGCAGCTCTGCAGTGTGTGCATATAACAGAGATGCAGAATACTAGGTTTGTGTTGTGTCTCTTTTCCATTTGGAGGTGATTCAGTGCAGTTGTCTACAGTGGCGACTCGTCATTAGGGGCAGGTGCACAGCCCCACCTAGTGTCAGCAGAAAGTAATGAAAATAATAATTCCAAAAATATGCAAAAATAAATACATGTTAAAATATATTTTAAGATCATGTTTAGTCATCTGATTCGTCTGAACATTGATGTTTTAGTCTATGTTCTTCCAATTAGTGTCCACAGTGTGCCTATTGAGCCGTGTTGAGCGATGTGGGGCAAGCCCCTCTCTCTGCTGTAGAAATGAATGGGTGGGTCTAAGCATGCTCAGAGTATTTTTGTATGTGCTGCAAAAAAATAATCACAGCAAAGTGCTGGCAACCCCACCAAAACGTAATCTCATAGTTCAGAGCTGATAAAGTACATGTGCCGCGAAAAGTGTAGATGTGAAGAGGAGACGAGAGAGAGCAGCGTATAGCGATTAAAATCAGTAAAACAGAAAGAAATTGAATGAAGTTGACCATCTACTTCAGCTTTGTTAAGTTCATTTTATGTATCTTTTGTTGATCTTCTGTGTTTTGCCTATAGGCTATTGCTCTGCTGGATCGATTGATATTGTGACCTCGGTGATGAGTGTCTGTGTTTTCCTTATATATAACCATGGATAGCCTACAGCTATTTTTAGTTTATGCGTTTAAAAAAGCACCAGAAGCTTATATATACACATCTAAGTTGTTTGTGCCCCACCACTTTTGTACATATAAAAACGCCACTGGTTGTCTATCATGTTTTGCAGCGAGGGAATTGGCCATGAAGCAGGAAGAGGGACGGACAGTGATGTACACAGCCATGGGCGCCGAGTGGAGGCCATTTGGGTTTCCACGGCGACGCCGACCCCTCAGCTCTGTGGTGCTGAAGGAGGCTGTGGCCGAACGGATCGTAGACGATGTGAAGGAGTTCATCGGAAACCCCAAGTGGTACACAGACAGAGGTGGGATATTCACTCAGTGCTTATGGAAGCAGTGTTTGAGTGATTTATCTTTATGTTGCCTGGTTATATAATTCATGGTTTCTTTCATTGTTGTGTCTATAAAGTCCTTCTTGTTCGGGCAACATTTAAGAGTCTTGTTATGCAAGTTCAGTTTCCTATATGCACTTGAATGCATCAACTGAGCAGAGTTTTTAAAACAGAGGATCTTCATTCATTCACTGAATGAATTATATAAAAAGATGATTAAGTTAATTAATTACAATTTCCAAGTTTGTAGAAATTATTTTTCATCCTAAATATTTGTTATGTTTTGCATCTATTGCAACAAATATATTAAGTTTTTAAATAGAAAAAACATTTATTAAACAGAAAGAGCATTTTAATTTTGAGTTTTTTCATTTTTGTGTCAATGCAGGATTTTTTTAATGCTCCGTTGTTTATCACATTAAAGTTATGAATATATTGTCACAACATTCAAAAGCGAATGTATCATTATGTTCTTTCTAATTTTACATGTTTTTGAAAAAAAGTTTAAAAAACGAATTTACCTTTACTGTGTTCTGTAAGATCATGCTTCTATAATAAATGTTCTCTTTGCAGGCATCCCCTACAGAAGAGGATATCTGCTGTACGGCCCCCCAGGGTGTGGGAAGAGCAGCTTTATGTGAGTGTGCTTTGGATTCCCACCCTTCCTGCTTAGAGTCTGTGACTTTGAAGGCTGTGTTGAGTACTTCAATTCTCCCCTCCACCTTTTCGCCCTTCACATTGCAGCACGGCGCTGGCTGGAGAGCTGGGCTACAGCATCTGTCTGATGAGTCTGAGCGACCGCAGCCTGTCAGACGACCGGCTGAACCACCTGCTGAGCGTGGCCCCCCAGCAGAGCATCATCCTGCTGGAGGACGTCGACGCAGCCTTCGTTAGCCGAGACCTGCTGCCCACTGAGAGTAAGCAGCTGGGAGGGACCTGGGGTCTGTTTGTTTGTAGGAAACAACGGTAACATAAAGAAGAGCATAATAGAAGGAATTATGTACATGTCTTAAAAACTAAATCAGAAAATAAATATTCGCCATGTTTCTAGGAATATAATGTGATATATATCAGGCTATGAACAATATATGAACAAAGCCCTCTATAAAAAGTTTCTGAATAAACATAGTAATTAGACTGGAAAGTGTGTGTGTACTGAATTGGAGATATCTGCTGTGGAAAAACTCATTTAGTAAAAACAGCCACTGAAGATATGTATTGTAAAATTCCATTCATTATGCAAGACACTATAGTATAAAGAGGTTTAAATAACTACCGACTGACGGCAAATTGAAAAGCTGAGGTTGACAGACTGTCTTTGTGTTTCATATTTTTGAATCCCTTTCCTCTCCTCCTGCAGACCCTCTGGCCTACCAGGGGATGGGCAGACTGACCTTCAGCGGCCTGCTCAACTCTCTGGACGGAGTGGCTTCCTCTGAGGCCAGAATCGTTTTTATGACCACCAACTTCATTGACAGGTACTGTTGGATTAACATTTGTTAACACTATACCTGGGAAACAAGGGTTGGTGTCCAAGCCAAAAAACAACAACCAGGACAACATCTCTATCACTTAGATCAAAATGAGTGCCATCGATTGATTACAAAATGTAATTGCGTCATTAACCATGATTAATCACAAGTTCAAAATACTAGTATTTACTAGTAGATAAAACATGTACATGTGGTTTTGTTATAAAGAAATAATGACAAACCGGTGAGCAAAATCAGACGTTTTTTTACTTTATTAAAACATGATTTTCTTTTTAAATATTGGCATGTACTCCGATTATTTTCCCGACATTTAGCTGAAGCATCGACTATGCCGCTATCACAGAGGGCCGCTTTATAATATGTGCTACACAGGGCATATTATCTCTGCTGCTATCCTACTCCAAACCATTTGTCTTCCTTGGAGCTTGGGTGATTCACTTTGACAGCCCTAAAATCAAATGGCAGAGAAAATAACTTCTGTTTTTATCTTTAATGCAAATAAACCCATGGTTTTGACGTCCACAAAGACCCCCCTAAGGAACAACTGTTCAGCAGCTATTTGGTCATTAACCTTTACAAAACGACTCCAAGGTCAGATCTACCAATTGTCAAAACTTGTAAATACTATAAAAAACTAAAACCAAATTGGAAATACTATTTAAAAATAAGTAGAACATGAATTAAGAAAAAAAACTACGAAGTGGTTGACATTTCTATGAATTGATCTAAAAGAAAACAAACGGAAAGCTGCTCCATTAAATATTTCTTTTGTGATGTGACTTGTGTGTGAATGCTTAAGTCTACTGGATGTATAAACAACAGTTTGCTAACACATAGAGTCTAGACACTACAGCTTTACAAGGTTAAAGAATGTGCTTCTAGCTTTCATATGCTACCCTCTTGTGGCTAAAATATATACAAAAGCAGCTTTACAATATTTAAACTGGTTTGAAGTAATATATACTATAACAACTAACCAGCAACATCATTTTTTTTCAAAATGGACAGTACAAGTTTCATGTCGCTACCTAAGAATACGTTCTTTGACATCCCTGGTGAGTTTGGCCCAGTATTTTCTGTGACGTTCACTGCCACTCTCTGCAGGTTGGACCCGGCGCTGATCCGGCCCGGCCGTGTGGATCTGAAGCAGTACATCGGGAACTGCACCCACGGGCAGCTCACTCAGATGTTCTGGAGGTTCTACCCGGAGGAGCCTGCCTCTGAAGCGGACCGCTTTGCAGAGCAGGCGCTGGCCGTGCACTCTGAGATCAGCGCCGCTCAGGTGCAGGGACACTTCCTGCTGCACAAAATGGACCCCGCAGGATCTATAGACAATGTTGCCCAGATGAAATAATGACAGAGGACTGCACAGTGTTTGGAGAGTGATTACTGAATAAAGAGAAATGTGAAAAACACTGTTTTTACACTTCTATCTAGTTTATGGAATTTATAAGTAATTGTATGTGATTTATAACGAATACATTAGTTTTCACTGCATTCCATCACATGAATGGCACATACTTTCCCTAGAGCTCAACAGGAAGTAAGGTTTAAAGAACTTTCTTAATCTTGAAAAACATTTGTTTAATCTCTCCTCATCTTGTAACCAGCAGACCATGGTTGCGGTCGAATAGTCCATTTAGCTTAGGAACCTTCCTAACGGAGTGAAATTACCCGGAAGTCCCTCAGTGGCAGCCATGATAAGAGCCGTTAGAATTCTCTAGATGATAGGAAAGGAGGTTTTAAACTTCCTTTATAACCTCCTTTAGCTTAGGAACCACTGAACCTCCCTTTACGAAAGGAGAGGAGAAAATGCTGCCCCACAATGCCTTGCGGCCGCAGCATTTGCCGTTACACAACAGTCGGCCATTCACGGAAACAACCGATTATGACCGAGAAATGATATCATGAAAGTTACGGTGCTTATTAAAGGTGGGGTAGGTAAGTTTGAGAAACCGGCTCGAGATCGCTAGAATTTGAAAATACACAACCGGAGAAAATCTGCCACTTCCTTACAGAGCCCCTCCTCCAACACACACGAACGCGCACATGACCAATGAGGGCACGAGATAAGTTTGTGCACAGATGGAAGGCTGACAGGCAGGTAGGCCATCCAGTTATTTTAGCCAGCCGGCTAAAATGATTGGACGTGCTTTTTACAGTACTACGGCTTTCACAGATGACATTTTTTTATGGATTTTTTGTCAAAGCACTTAAGATATTCATTGCTATCGGGATGTTAAGAGCATTCCATGGAATATAACAAAAAGTGTATCTCGAGCCGGTTTCTCAAACGTACCTACCCTACCTTTAAGCATTTTAAAACGTATGTGGTAAGTTGCCAAAGTGCTTTGTTTTGAACGTTCATCAGTATTATAATCAAAAAGAGAAATATGAACGTTAGTTTTTACTGAAATGATCAAATAAAGTCAACATTTCAGTCTTTACTGAGCTGTGTGGGGTTTGTTCAACTATTAAAAGATGTTTGAATGGTGATATACACACTGATAGATGTTAAGGACTAACGTTTATAATAAATACATTTGTATTGATTTTAAGATATTTTCATACAATCATACGTATTGGGATCATTTGTATTAATGTGGACCGGAGGGAGAGGGTGACGAGCATAAGTTTCACTTTCCTTTTTTATTTCAATTCCAACTTTGGTCATGAAGAATATGTTTCTCTGTTGTCCCCGTTCATAAAGCATAAAACAACAGCATCAGAGCACGGTGCAGAGTCTCTATATGAGTTTACAGTAGTCCGCCATTCTTATTTTACATCCATGTTGTAGTCCGCTGTATAGAAAACTGTAGTTTCCATAGTTTCCCCACAGCAGCAGACGCACATTTATGATGTCCGCTGGCGCATCATAAACACGTCGGATAGTGAAAGTGCAGTCGGATTCTCTAAAGTACGGCAGTCTCTTCTCCTAAGTCCTTTTTAATTCTTCTATCCACTATCCAGGGTCGGCTCTAGAACAAATCGAACGGGGGGGCACACACTGCCGTCAACAACCAACACACAAACACCAACGCAACTTCAATTTAAAAAAACATGCTGTAAAGTCGATTGTCTTTCACACACATTGCAGGGGTGTAGTGCTATTTTATAGCGCACCTATGACTTGTGCATACATGCACGGTTGTGGCACGACCACCAAAACAGAAACATATGGACATAGGCCACCATATAAAAAGTGTGCAAATTTAGTATTTAGTATCATATCCATGTGAACATGTTTTAGGTGGGGGGTGGACCTCACCTCCTCTATGAGGGTCTGGGGGCATGCTCCCCCGGGAAGATTTTTTTTTAAATATTGAAGTTAAATGCATCAATCTGGTGCACTTTGAAAGCAACATTAAGAGATCTATGGATACATCTCTCAACACCCATATGAAACAGAACTGTAAACAGATGTACTTTTTCTTTATGGATATTTTACTAATCACTCCCCTTTTAAACTGTATTCTTGTGTTACTGTCCTATAGTATTTCATACCTGTTTTTCATTTATTCTCTTATTTTTTAATAACTATAATGATTATATAAAGGTGTTCCTCGCAAATACTTGTTTACATAAATGGTGACCAAACCGTTTGAGACCCACTGAGATAACTTAGACTAAAGTTAACTATCTAAACACTGAGAGAGTCCTTTACCTCACTGAGCTGACGTTATAAGATCCTCTCAGTCTGACAGGAGAGGACTCTCCTCCACCTTAACCAGATGCTAACAACAACATTCCACGTTACCGCTCGCGCACTCACACAAAATGTGCTCGTGCCACACACACACAGAGCCGAGCTTGAATGAAACAGAGACCCAGAAGTACTTGTACTGTATTGTATATCATATTATTTTCGATGGCTTTACTGTATAATCAGTATAACAGATGAACAGATCGCCACTGGGCTTTCATCTAAACACACAGCCACGTAATGATAACAAAACAAAGGTCGGGGGTCATTGGTCAAGCAACACACCAATCAGAGAGCAGCAGTGAGCACACCTCAGGCTGTGTTTTCAACAGCTTTCATCTCTTGCATTTAAATAACTCTTCAACTATCCTAATCTCTTCAATTATTACATTAAATTACTTTCATCGCTCTTCCTTCAAATTATATTTCAACTGCTTTCATCTTACACAAATCATTTCACAGTGAAATGACTTTAATGCTTCCACTTCAGCTGCTTTGACCACATACACATTAAAAAGGCCCTCTTGTGTTTTGGGGGTTTTCCATTTCCTGTAGTCTGTTATATAGGCTTTTGTGCATGTAAATGGACAAAAATGTATGTAACTTGGTTATATAGGATGGCCTGAAACGCCTCCATTGTGCTCCTTTGTTTACTTCTGTAACATAGTCACAACAGATCCGGCCAGCTAACCCGACAGAGGGTGAAAAGAGGTGCTGCAGCACAGGCATATGAGAAAAATAAAGACCTTTTTGTACATTAAAGCATGGAGACATGTCACAGTAGAGGCATTAAATACTAATATGAACCACAAGCACTTTTCCCAACAATGATTTATTGGAAGCACAAGGTTATATTAAACAAGATATTGCCAAAGAAAAGGCTTGAAATATTGCACTACAGATGTATGGGATTCTGTATGGCCCCTTGGTGCTGTAAGGGTTAAACCTTGTGAGGGACCTGGCCCCTCCTTGCTGAGCAGGCCTCTCGGATGTAACAGGAGCCTTGTGTTTTCCATTCTGCTCTCATCATGGCTGCATGGCTGTGCCGGGCTCTGGTGCAGAGGAATGGACGCTTGTTGCCTTCATACCCTAACTCTGTGGGCAGATTGTGCTCCAGGGCGGTGGGAAGCTCCCCTCCTGCCCCCGGGGCCCTCTCTGCCTTCCAGGACAAGCCTCGGACTGTGGAGGACCTGCCTAATATCAGCATCTTGGAGCTGATCTACAGGATGGTGTTTCAGGGCTTCTACAACCGTTTGCATGAGCTACAGGTAGGCCGTAGTGCACTGCATGATATCTTGACGACACACATTAGGGTTAGGGTTGGCAGCAGGAGAGTAATGCCAGATTATTTTTCCCTGCATGCATTCCAGAAATCCCTGATAAGCTCTCACTTTGGTTGACCTGCTTGAGTGCATTTACCTCCAAGAATGCATTATAGAACATGTCAGGCTGCTTATGTTACTTTTGTTTCCATAGTCACCTCCAGATAACAGCCGGTCTCAGCTGACTCACTGAGGATTGTCTGCAGGAACACTTTCTGTTTTTACGCAACACAGTGCATTGGATCAATGGGATATTTTAACATTTTGGCTTTTATGGAACCATCTATTTCTTTTCCTTTCCTCAGGAGATTGCTTAGGCAAGTTTATTTATAGACCACCTTTCAACATAAGGTAATTCAAAGTCCTTTACAAAAATGAAAAACATGAAGAAGCAAAGAGCAGGCGAAAGCAACAGCAAGAAGAAAAGTCTTCAGCATTGACTGAAAACAGTTGCAGCAGACCTGAAGTTTACTGGGAGTTTGTTCTAGATGTTTGGAGCATAATAACTGAAGAAGAAGAAGATGAAGAAGATGGACCTTTATTGAACCCTGCTTCTCCATGTTTAGTTCTGACTCGTTCTGAAAGCAGAAACATCCCAGAAGACCTGAGAGATCTGGATGGTTCATAATGTAGCAGGAGATCAGAAATATATTTTGGCCCTAAACCATTCAATGCTTTATAAACCATCAGCAGTATTTTGAGATCAATTATTTGACACACAGGAAGCCAGTGTAAAGACCTCAGAACTGGAGTGATCCACTTTCTGAGTGTCAGTGAGGACTCGAGCAGCAGCGTTCTGAATCAGCTGCAGCCGTCTGATAGATTTTTTAGTGAGACCTGTGAAGACACCATTACAGTAGTCGAGTCTACTGAAGATCCAGACTCCAAATCCTGCTTTGACATTAGTCCTTTACTCCTAGATACAGTATATCCTTCAGATGGTAGTATGCAGATGTAAGTAATTGTCTTAATGTGACTATTGAAATTCAGCTCAGAGTCCATGAGATTTCTGGCCTTTTTTTCTGTTGTTTGTAACATTGATGATTGAGGCTCAGCCCTGACTTTTATTCGTTTCTCCTTAGCTCCTAAAGGATTACCTCTGCTTATCAAATCAAATCAAATCAAATCAGGTTACACACAGGTTTCTATGTTCACTCATCTTTCTTGCATCACTTTGCCCACCATCAGATCTATAACAAGAAGCTATATGGGCCCATATACAGAGAGGGACAGAAGAGCGTGTCAGTGAACACTCCACAGCTGCTGGAGGAAGTGCTGAGGAACGACGAGAAGTTCCCCACCCGAGGAGACCTGTCCGCGTGGAAGGAATATCGGGATATGAGGGGATACGGCTATGGGCCTTTCACAGAGTAAGACTCTTAAAAACTGTTGCAATGCTTCATTCACATTTCCTTACGACCACTGGACCATGTGCAAACAATACATTGTAAAAACTTGAGAAACTTGCTTAACCCTTGTGCCCTCCTCTGGCATTTTTGTACATTTTTCCTGGACTTTTTTTTTAATGATCATTTCAGCTGTGTTTCAGCTTTTGGCATGGATTTTTGCAAGAAGTCTTCTTTTGAGTCAAATTTTTGAAATCCAATGTCGTTTACTCTTACATGTTTTGTATACTCTCGTGATGCATTTTGCACCCTCTGGACACCTTTGTGGCAAAAATGTACACCCCCCCAAAAACTGCTATTAAATCATCATACATCAATATTTGTTTTAAACAAAGATAAACATGCAGTTTGACCAAGGGCTTATTTCATTAGTGAGCAGAGAAGGCGAAAGACCTGGAGCAAAGAGAAGGAACTCAAATGAAGAAGCTTTTCAGTGCAGAAGAGACTTCAGAAATAATCTTGCAGCCTTCTTCTGCCAGCGAGCTGCAGGACTCATCTGAAGAAGACACAAGGTTTGAGGGGGGGTCTGACACTGAATGCTCTCTGGAGTCCAGCATTTCTTTGAGTTCCTCTGACCCTTCCTCTGAAAGTGGAGAGGACACTGAGGGTCCGGTCCACCATCCACCACCACGGTAGCAGCAGCTGCTGTGGGGGGCATTCTTCTCACACTCTGTGAGGACACCCTGGACACTCCGTTGTTCTCTCTCCCCTCACTGTGTGCCGGACCCTCAGTGTCCTCTCCACTTTCAGAGGAAGGGTCAGAGGAACTCAAAGAAATGCTGGACTCCAGAGAGCATTTCTGTAATAGCAGTTTTTTGGGGCGTGTACATTTTTGCCACGAAGGTGTCGAAAGGAGGACAATTTGAGGAGGGCACAGGGTTAAGAGGTTTCCAGGGCAAAGTCTTGTCATGTAAAAGAGAATGGGTGATTGGGACCAGCTGGTATTGGAAGTTTGATGTTTAAATCTCCCCTAATCGTTGACCATTAAGATTGTTAATGTCCTTTGTTGAGTCCACTTTTTAATTGACTTGATGGGTTGTAAAGGTCTGATTTCACACACCAAATACACACTGTTCTTTTTAATGTTGTGGCCTTGTGCCAAGCTTTGTTTTACTAGTTCGATTTTTTATTCAATTTTTATTTATTTTTATTTGTACCACTGCGCTTGACAAATACAATGTATTATTATTATAATTATTATTTTACTCCCACCAAATTAAATTTGAATGCAGCAAGACAGGCTTTGTCATATTTTCTTTTTTGCACCTTTAGCTTAGAATATTGCCTTGGATTTGGAAGCATTGTTTTTAATTTGGTCCCTATGAAATATCAGTTAATTCTGCAAACATACAGACTATATATCTGAATGAAAACCATTATTTTTTCACCAGATATAGTATGACTTGATAAATATAGGCAATATTAATCAAAGCTGCTGTGATTGAGTCCTGGTGACTGTATTTGTGTCCCTAGGGAGGGGGAGAGGTGGTACAACCTGAGGGTGATGCTGAACAAACGCATGCTGCATCCGAAGGAATCCGCACAGTATGGGGATGATATCAATGACGTGGTTACAGACTTCATCAAGAGGCTCTCCTACCTCCGTCAGTGCAGCCCCGAAGAAGACTTGGTGCCTGACATGGCCAATGAGCTCTATCGATTCTCACTAGAGGGTATGTAGGGAACTTGGTAGTTCATGCTAAGCTAAAGTTGTTTGCTTAATAAAGTTACTGTAAGGGTGCATGTTTATTTAACTTAGTAATCCTCCTTTAGGGTGGTGCAGTGATGACAGATTTTTGTAGGATGACCCGGAAGATAGCATAACAAGGGCTCCCTTGACAAAAAGCCAATGGGTTTTTTCCATTGGAATTTGGAATAAAGAAATAAGCAGAATTATCTCCTCAAATTAACAACAATTGTATAATTGTTTAAGGGTAATGCAATTGACTGAAGTAAAAAGTTAACATAATGCTATAAACATGCTGCATTGCGGTTGCTGGACTTCATGTCACCAAGCTAAGCTAAAGGTGGCTAATGTTTGGCTTGTTGACATTTAGTTGTCTCTTTTATCAACTTGTTAGCAGCCGCTGATTTGAAGACGCATTAAAGCCTCAGGCGTTCACCAGTGGGGTATTTACTGACATATTTTATGTCGAAGTCATAAAACATGAAAAATCTTGAGATCTTGAATTAGCCAAATACCTTATTTCGGGAATCTAACCAAAAGCTCTTTCAAAAGACCATTGACTACAAGACAAGGGAGTCTGGAAGTTCTAAAATGCTTTTCCGTGTTTAGGAGTCATTGCTGCATCACTCTTTTATCCTAGGGGCCAACCTGACCCTATTCAGTTTTGAACATTTCAAAGTAAATGCTCCTCCTCATTTCGTAGTTAACAGGAAGTGAACCTTCCTGTTCTCCAAATATTCAAACATCTTTTTATCATTTTGTCGTGACTATGAAAAAAAGCTAATCACCATAACACCGATCTAGCCTATAGTTGAAAATGAAGATATTTTCAGCCATATTAAGCTCCACCAGGTCAGGGGGGGGGGGGCTGGATTGTAGAGTAAGGGTAAATGCTGGACCAAAACATATGACACGGCAGGAAACTTGGAATATCTTTTGAGCATTGTTAGCATTCCAAAGGCTTCCTGTTGCTTCTGCCTTTGGACTTGGACACTCCCGCCAAAAAAAGGAACCCAATGAAGGCTTACAAATGATTTTCCTACTATCCCCCTACTGTTAAAAATGGGAGAGGGACCATAGTAACTTGTCATTTTAGCAGGTCATTTGTCCACTTGGAGACAGAGAGAGTCTTTATAAACAGATGTCTGCATTTATGAATACAGAATCTGACGACAATGGGACAAACATTTGGTTTTGAAAGTGTTCTAGTTCCCCTTCATAGTCAGTGTAGTCACTTGAGCAGGATTTAGTTGCATGCAGGTAAAACACGTGTGCAAAAGAGCTGGACCGCATTGCCTGAATAGCAATCGGCTATTGTCTGCAGACCATATTTTGTAACCTGGCTATTCGTGAAACAATGCCTTTTGTTGTGTGTTCAAGATTATATATTTAAGCCATTAAAATTGAATTAATAGGGTTACATTTTGGCAGATTTTTTTGTTACATTACAACCAGTTCAGTTTGACTAATCCAAAGGGAGAGCAAGTCTGCAGAAAGGTTTTTCTTATCCTGAATCATAACCTTTGCCACTCAGGTATCGCCTCCATACTGTTTGAGACAAGGCTTGGGTGTCTGGAAAAGGAAATCCCTGCAGGGACTCAAGACTTCATCCACTCCATAGGCCAGATGTTCTCCTACAACATGGCTGCGTTTCTGATGCCCAAGTGGAGCCGCAGTCTGCTGCCCTACTGGAGGCGCTACATCGAAGGCTGGGAGGGCATCTTCTGCTTTGGTGAGTCGCAGAAAAAGTGACAGCTGGTTTGACTGTCTTTGTTATGGACAACATGTACTTGTAGTGCTACTATTATAACAAGTCCATCTCCTGACAGGACAACATGTGTGCAAAGCACTTTGACAGGCAAAGTCCGACTATGAAATCACACTACTTGTGTGGACAATATTTCATTTGAGAACACAGAGGGATACTCTCCCTTACGCAAAGAAAATATATTTCCCCATATATTAACTATCAATATATTGCATTATTTTGTTTTCTGATTTACTGGTTAATTGAAAAGATTTAATAAAGGAAATCTTGCTGTTGGCTACACCAAGTGATACTGATTAATAATCAACATGAAAAACATATTTATTCATATCTACAAAATATATTGAAAATATATTGAAGATATATAGAATAATATATTGTGTTAATATATTACAATATATATATATTGAATAATATATTGTGATAATATATTGTAATATATGGGATAATACATCAGTAATTGCCGCTTTCCATATATTGAGTAATATATGTAAATATATATAATATATTGGTTGTGTATATATGTGAACATACATTTTACTATATATTAACATTTATATGGGGACATGTACTATATATATTCACAAATATATGGGGACATGTATGCTCTATATATTCAGATTTATATGGGGACATGTATGCAGAATATATTCACAATTATATGGGGACATGTACTATATATATATGCACAAATATATGGGGACATGTATGTACTATATATTCAGATTTATATGGGGGCATGTATGTAGAATATATTCACAATTATATGGGGACATGTACTATATATATATTCACAAATATATGGGGACATGTATGCTCTATATATTCAGATTTATATGGGGACATGTATGCAGAATATATTCACAATTATATGGGGACATGTACTATATATATTCACAATTATATGGGGATATGTATGCGCTATATATTCACAATTATATGGGGACATGTATGCACTATATATATTCAGATTTATAAAAGACCATGTACGTACCATATATTCTGAACATGAGTGCAATATATGTTCACAATGAGGAGAAATGCATGTTCTGATAAAAAAAATCTTTCATTTCATTTCAAACCTTTATTTATGCAGGTGAATCCCATTGAGATCATTGATCTCTTTTTCAAGGGTGACCTACTGCAAGTAGGTTCCACATGAATACATATAAACATAACAGAAAAACAAAAAAGGACATCATACAGCATATTTACAGTGACTACAGTTTACATAGCTAGTAACATTTACAGGTTCCAACAGTTTCCGATTGGATAGTATCTATCCTTGCTTTAAAAACATTTAGCGGAACCAAATTGCTCAGACTGTTCCAAGTTAGCGGAGCTGCGCATCTAAATGCTATCTTCCCTAAGACAGTCCTAGCAGTTGGCACATTTAATAAAACCACAGCATTCGATCTCAGGCAGTAGCCACTTACAATTCGCCGTGAGATCAGGGAGCAGATGTAGGAAGGAAGTTTCCCTAACATGGCTTTGTATATAAAAATGTACCAGTGACTGAGCCTCCGTACAGTTAGTGAAGGCAAACCTGCCCTTGCATACAGGGTACAGTGATGGGTTAATACTTTACAGTTTGTCACAAATCTCAGTGCACTGTGATAGGCGGCATCTAACTTGACCAGGCAATTGGCAGGTGCATTCATATAGATCAGATCACCATAGTCCAGTACAGGTAAAAAGGTCACAGTGACTAGCCTTTTCCTGGCCTCAAGTGAGAAACAGGACTTGTTCCTGGAAAAGAAACCTAGCCTAACCCTCAGTTTTTTAAGCAGGTTATTGACATGAAGTTTAAAAGTGAGACAATCATCAAGCCAGATACCAAGGTATTTGTAACAGGTAACCACTTCAAGTTTTATTCCTTGTGTAATTAAAATATCTAAAACAGGCTCTGGTGTCTTTTTAGCTTTTGAAAAGAGCATTACCTTGGTTTTATCAACATTTAAAAGAAGCTTAAGCGCTGAGAGCTGAGTCTGAATAATGAGAAGCTTAATTTGTTTTTTTCTATCAATGTGTAACAGTTATCAAAATACTCATTAAAAGAAGGACAAGGAACGAATAAAAGAAAAGGCCTATAAACAACACATTATGTCATGACTCAAGAACATTTTTATGTAATTATGTAATAAAACCCACATTTTGTAATAATCTGCTGCATTCTGTAACAGCCTGAACGCAATATAAAATAAATGTCCCTGCATTTTGTAATAAATTATTACATTTTGCAATGGTTATTACAAAATGCGTGAGTTGCCCTTTTAAAAAACTGTAATATTCATTATGTAACCATAACCAAACTGTAAATATATCCCAAAATTGATGTTGATATACATGTTGGCTAATGAATATGGTAACACTTGATCTAGTTTTGGCCAATGAAAGATATTCTACTGAAGTATTTTTAAATTATGAGTAAGGATGATTCATGGTTGAATAAATAAATAAACAGTTGTAATGTTATTGTTTGCAACTCATTTTGTAATAACCACAGCAATATGTAATAATATATTTCAAAATGTGGCGACATGTATTACATATTTGCATTGAACTTGTTTACTACATAATGGGCAAATTATTACAAAAGGAGGTGTTATTACATAATGAAGGGAAAATGTATTACATTTTGTATAGGTATAGTTAATAAATGATGCATTGTTATTTCATACAGGGCCAAAAAGAGCAGTCTGTTATCCTATTTAACAATCTTGTTTTTTGTTTCACCTGGTGACAACTTTAAACATGAGCTGATCACTCATTAAAACAATGTCCGGAACAGGGCCAAAAAAACAGTCTTGTACCCTATTTGATCGTCAATCTTGTTTTTTTCGTGCCTTTACTCACAAATTCTTGTGTTAATGGATGTTCTTATATCTGATGTCTTGGTCCCTGGATGGTGGTTTACTACAGCATCTGTGGAACAGAACAATTACAAATAATTAGAAGTTCACAAAAGACAGCAGGAATTATAACAATATCCATAATATCTATATTAAAGCATGGGCTGGCTTGGTGAATAATGTGGGAATACAAATAGTGGAAGAATAGGCTTTGTACATTTTCGTCTGAGTGTGGCGCTACTGGTTGGTATATTTTATGGAATTTGGACCAAGCATCTGCATCTGTAACAGTTCTGTTTAAAACTTTTTTTAAATGTAATTGCATTCATCTTTAAAGGTGGGGTAGGTAAGTTTGAGAAACCGGCTCGAGATACACTTTGTGTTATATTCCATGGAATGCTCTTAACATCCCGATAGCAATGAATATCTGAAGTGCTTTGACAAAAAATCCATAAAAAAATATCATCTGTGGAAGCCGTGGTACTGTAAAAAGCACATCCAATCATTTTAGCCGGCCCGGCTGAAATGACTGGATGGCCTACCTGCCTGTCAGCCTTCCATCTGTGCACAAACTTATCTCGTGCCCTCATTGGTCATGTGCGCGTTCGTGTGTGTTGGAGGAGGGGCTCTGTGAGGAAGTGGCAGATTTTTTCCGGCTGTGTATTTTCAAATTCTAGCGCACTCGAGCTGGTTTCTCCAAAATTACCTACCCCACCTTTAAAAGACTACTTTTATTGAATGAGAGTTTTACCTAGCACAATGAGCCTGGGGTGGTGGGAAGGGAGAACTGGGCCTCGGCATCGGCAGGAGTGGTAGTCGCCTATGAGTATTAGAATTTAGATGAACAAAGGCATAGAAAAACCCTGAAATATGTACTGACACAAAGCTACAACCCTCGATTTTGTAAGTAGTAGTAGTAAATACATACGTATATACAATATACAACAATACCCATAATGCAATTAGCAGTACCAGTAATAAAATAACTGAATAAATAGTAGTAGAACCTTTATTTAGCCAGGAAAATCAATTAAGAACAAATTCTTATTACAATGATGACCTGACAGGAGGCAAAAGGCGTCCTGAGGGGATGGGGTTTGGGAGGAAAAAAATAAAAAGACAGACTCCGGGCACTACAGAACCCAGGAGACAACACAATGACACAGAGCAGAGATGACAGGCATAGCAGTTAAACATATAAAATCTCTAAAACAATATTGCTGTGGTTCAATCTGTCATTAAAATAATATAGAACATTCATCCATTCAATCCTTCATGGCAAGGATAACTAAGCTGAATAGTGAATAAAGTGATATGTGAAAAGTAAAATGACAGTGAAATTAAATGACAGTGCGTTCCTTACCACTGCGATCTGGCTCCTCTGTCCTCGTATATTTTGGGTCTGATTCCTCACTACTGATGTCTGCCTCTGCATGGGCCCTCTCTCCTTATTTATTCTGTCTCAGTCACCACTGCTATCTGGCTCCTCTGTCCTCTTGACTTGTGGTTCTGCAGGCTTAGTTCGACCTATGAATTTCAACAATGCTCCTGTAAAATATATAGATATATAGTATTATGGGTCAACATTAAAATAACATACACTGGAGAGCAAAATGTGAAATGCCATTGACTGTAGGCTACATATTATCCACACAATTGTCAGCAGGGGCAATAACAACTAAAATGTGAACTAACTTGAATGCATTAGTCCACAACACATAGCCTAACGTAGAGTAGAGAATGAATGAATGGTTTCTGCAAAATACACAGAAATAGAAATAAGGTTCAAATTACAATAACTAACCAGACGATGGTTATTAATAATAAGCAACAGCAATACTAATTGTTGCTAAAACACATTAGACACGTTGCAAACACACGGCTAATAAAAGCTAAGTTAGCATCTCATCCACACACTATCATAGCTTAACTTAGCTAACTAGCTAGCATTAGCTCAATTCCTGAACAACATAGAAACTAAAAACGGGACATCAAGACTCATTAACACACTGACTGAGCAGGACACTATGCATACAATCTTATAACATTACCAACACTAAAGATCTGCATATATGCTCACATTCTTCACGAACGCATTCTCTCTGTGACGAT